GTGAGACTGCTCATAAACAGTGACTGAGTGTGTGTAATCAGAACACGGTACTCGTTGTTGTTTTTGTTTTGCTCTACAAAATTTCACGGCAAATTGTATCCTAATCCCAGGTGGTTTTCCAACGCCAAACCGAAAAATTTGTCATGGTGGATCAAGTAGAGGATTGAAGCTCGGATCGATACCTAGTGAAAGTAACTTTTATTTGTGAGCGAGGAACCGACATATTGTTTATTTTGCCAGTTGGAAGCAATCAATTAGGGTAAATTATGGCTTCGGCACCCATTGACTGTTTTCGGCAACCGAAATTGAAACGTTAATTTCACTGTATTTTCCCATCAAAACTCTTCGCTGAATGTAATAAGCCGATTCCTTACCTTTTCAGCTTCAATCTGATTACATTTTTACGACTGTGCAATCCTGTTATGCCATATTTTTCTTTAAATTAAATATACACACTACAAAATACGGCTGATTTCGAGTTGCCGATAATAGAACAGCTAGTTAACACGCAGTTCAAATGGAAAGGGTGCCGAAGAAAAAGAGACTGCCGACAATAGTCACACTCACCTGAGAAGTTTGGAGCGTTGTAAAAACATGTTCAACCCGTTAAGATCAATTCTGTCGATTGGAATTGGTAGAACAGCAAGCAGCAGATAAATGTCAACAAACAAACCTGTCATGTATGTGTGTGACGCTGAGAAATCGCTAATAGAAGTTCGGACGCTGCTTAGACTGACGAGAATACGTAAATTCCCCTATAAGGAATTGGCAGCTTCCATCACCATTGAGTGAACTACCGACATTCGGAAGCTGCTGAAAATTCAAGGATTCAAAAAGAAGAAAGACCCTATACCTACATCACGATCCAACGAAAGGAATCGACCGACCTCTTCCGGAGAATGATAACAACAGTAACATTCAAATGGTCAGCGAGTACTGTGCCACATTTCCAAGCGTCACTAATTTGCCCCCCCATTGTGGCCAGGTGCCAAAGCCGTGCGGAACGGACATGCATTTTACTAATGCACCATATGAATGCCAATAAATGCATCACTAAAGGGCATAGTTTTAATTTTCAAAACAAATTTACATACGAATCTGTTCAATTTCAGCTGGAATTTTACTCGTTGTCAGCATAAAGCAAAGCAAGAAACGTTTCACTTTTTACGACAGTCACAACAAAACCAATAATTAACAGCTATTTATTTCTACCAATGTGTGTGAATGCACTCGTGAATTAACACACACCATCATACACAGGTTCCACTTTTGCTCAGAAAAGGCGTTGCCGTTACTGTCTCCTGCTTTTTGGCAGAGTTGCCAGTCTTCTTGATTTGTAGTCTTCGCTAATATACAATAGAAATAATCCATAGCATGCAAGTAAATCATTGTAACCATTGTATGTAGACTATTTTTGTTTGACAAAATAAATAAATCAAATTTAAATGTATATCGCACAATCGAGGAAATTTCCAAAATTTCAGAAAAATCTGGATAAACCGGAAAATTGCTTATCGGGATTTGTTGGTCACCATACAAATTTGAAAAATACGTATGCTGTCTTTCAGAAATGTCAATTTCAGTTAAACTATTTATTTGACCTAGTGAACCCTTTGGCCTTATAGCTTTCAGCCTAATGGCATCAAGCTTGATGGCATCTGGCCTAATCCTCCATTAGAAAAAAAAATACCCCCTCCCACCCAAGTAGCACACTTTCATCACAGTAAGTTACAACAACTTGTTTATGACTGAAATAAGTCGTATATAAGTTCCTACAATTCATTTGTGACAAGCGTGCTACTAGGGCAGGGATGGAAAATCATTTACATTCATTTCGTGCATTAATTTACATTCATTTGCCTCTAACTTTTTTCATCAACAGAGTTACGTAAAATAATGTTTGAAGCTTTTGTAGGCTTTGATATTAACTGCATCTTTTGTAAACAACTCAAATCTGTATCTATTATGCATGTTGAATCAGAGCGATAAGAACCCACCATTGTTTTTCAGTGAATGTAAATTGAAGCTCTATTTCGTCATAGGGTAAATGTTGGCTTCGGCACCCATTGACTGTTTTCGGCAACCAAAATTTAAACGTTAATTTCACTATGTTTTCCCATCAACGCACTTCCCTGTATGTGTCCAAACGATTGTTTAGCCTTTCAGCTTCAATCTGATTATATTTGAACGATCGAGCAATCCAGTAATGCTACATTTTTCTTCAAATAAAGCATACGCACTACAAAATGAGGTTGATTTCGAGTTGCCGATAATAGAACAGCTGGTTAACACGCAGTTCTAATGGGAAGGTTGCCGAAGAAAAAGAGACTGCCGACAATAGTCACACTCACCTGAGAAGTTTGGAGCGTTGTAATAACGCTTTCAAAACGTTTTGAAAAATTCTGTCGATTGGAATGGATAGAGAAGCAAGCAGCAGATGAATGTAAACAAACAGACACATCATATATGTGCGTGACGCTGAGAAAATGCTAGTAGAAGTGCAGACGCTGCTTAGATTGACGAGAATACGTAAATTCCCCTACATGAGAGATTTAGATTTTAGTTTTTAACAAAAGTTGTAGTTAATATCAAAAGCTACAAAAGCTTCATACATCAAACGGTATTATGTTGAAGAAAGAAGTTAGAAGCAAATGAATGTAAATGAATGCACGAAATGAATGTAAATGATTTTCCATCCCTGTCCCAATTTTAAAACCTGGCTACGTCCGTGCAAATAAAAGAACCCGGAAAAGTACAAATAGAACGGAAAGTCATTCCTTCCAAACACACCCCAAACCCATTCCAGCAGTTCATTATTCACGCATCATCCTATATATTGTAGCTATCACGCCTAGGCATCGGTGGTAGGTGTTGGGCAGAGTCGGGCCAAGCCCAAGTTTGTTTTTATATGGCAAAATTTATAGTCTCCGTTAGGAAAACTAATGACCATCCTGGGTTATAAGTTGGGTAAACGAAATCAAATTGAAAGTGACTTGGAACCGAGATGGAAAAAAATACACAAAACAACAAGTCGAGGGCAAACATCAAACCCCTGAAAAGGATCATAAAGAGACATAATTATAAGCATTTTTCATACGCCTTATTTGGTACTTGGAAAACTGGTGTACGGTTCGCATACCTTGTAGGCGGTATTATTTTACCCAACTGCTATCAACAGCGTTTCAACTTTCCTGGTCGGCTTTCAAAGCAACAAACTTGGGTGTAATTTTATTCCTCTCTTCGCCACTCTACCACAGGGGTTTTCACGAGTACTCCGGAGAGCGCTAAGCATATTGATGAGTGCTTAGAAGAACTTTAATCACTACGAACTGACATTTTTTTTGTGATCTGAAAATACTTGGAATCAAATTGTGATAGATTATTATTTATATTAACATTACCATAACTTCAAATCTATATTTATGTTGTACTAGGGACGGAAGAAGATTATACGGCATAAAATAATCAGTTAGTCATCACAAATCATGAAGGCCACCATAACCAATCTAAAAAAAGAGATGATAAGAAAGTTTGATTTTGATGGTGTAACGACCACTCGACTGAAATGTCCATTTATACCGAAACGTTTTCAAAATAGTTTATAACAAGAGAAACAAATTTTGACTTTGCTCCGCTGAGGCATTGTTACCAACGTTGTGTTCCGTGACTTGAAATCCCCTGCTCTTTCAGTAGGTATGCCCACACGTATGTTCACTAAGCCTTCAGGACGGAATGCAGAGGAAAAACTTGAATTTATCCACCCTATGGTGAGATTTGACCCTTCTTACTACTTGAATTCTACCAACAAGGGCTCTACATTTTCGAGTTTTGATTCTTTCATATAACGTGTTCAACGCATCATTTCTATAACGCCTAGCTAGACTATTAGCACGAAACGAAATTGTAAAAAGAAGGACGCGTAGAACGAAAGACTGGCTGTGGATTTTCTCTCCGTTACTTTGATTATCGCTTTCAATGAAAGTAGCGTCGATTATCGAGTTGAAACGAAATCTCATTATGGCTTTCAATCCCTTTCACTGACACTCTATCTTCGCTCTTTCAATTTGTTTAATATGCATTATATCCCGTTTTTGTTATTTCGTTTCAGATAAATATGTGGATGGAACATATTAAATACGTGTAATCTTCAAGTGTTTTCACGTTAGCGCTGCTTTAAATACATAGTTTAATTATCTGTCATAAACGTCATGAATCCTTCGAAACTATCAAATTCTAACGCTCTTTCACTCGTCCGCTTCACTGAAGCTTGAAGAAAGACCAATGAAGTGACGGGAGAAAGAGAGACAAGCGATTGAAAAGGCTAACTGACAGTTACCAGCGTGTGGAGCCCTATGACTATTGATTCACCAGATTGATATGCTAATTGGAAATTAGGCATTAACGTAAGCTAAATTAACTAATGCATTCAACACTTTTTCAACTGTTTTTATTGATTAATATATAAACTAATGTGTCTATTTTGGATGCATTTAATTGCGCTCCTAAGATTTTGGTACAAAGATTACCCTTACTTCATGTACTCTCTATATCTATCTTCCATATTGATATGATTTAAACTTAAACTAGCTTTAAAAATCCTAATTGGAGACGAACTGAGAACGTAAATGTAATTTCTACACCTGCTGTTGCTGACGGCAAATTCGGTGAATTTTCGGATCTTCCGTTAGCAAACTCAAGTTTTGAGTGAGAATGCTTTTAGCTGTAAGTTTTATTTAATGATTAGATTAATTTTAGAAAACTTAATATATAAACTTACAAATTTTAATCCACTTCACCTGTTGAAGTTCACTGTGTCAACAAACTGTTTTTAATGTGTTGTGCTATCTGTATGTAAATTTTAATTTAATAATTGCTAGTATTTTAATTCATGTAAACTTACGAAAAAAAAAAGAATTCACTATATATTATACCACTAGCAAACACTTTTAAAATGCGAAAGAAAGTAAGTACTTAATAGTTTTTAATCTGTCTTCCTTTTTCTATTTATTTGTTCTCTTATAACTCTCCTTATCTGTCCTGTCACCTGTTCTGTCATCCATGATGTCAATTGTCCTGTCAAGCGTAGCGTTACGCCCAGTCAGCTGCCCTGCTGCAATTTGGCTCGCTTCAAGACCGGTATGCAACTGGCTGTCTCCAACATTCCCCGGCCCGTATTGCTGGAACTTCCTTCCAGCTGTACCGCTGCTTTGAACCTCAAGTACAGCCAGACTTGTTACTGGCCTCTGAAGCACTCTGCTACTAGTTTGGACGTCAGCGATGCGGATTCTGCCATCCTTTCCGGGGTAAACTCTGACGACCTTTCCGCGAATCCAGCTGTTCCGTATTCCACCATCCGCCAACATCACCAAATCTCCTGGTTGAATTGGTATAGAGTCGTCGAACCACTTGGTGCGTGTTCTCATAGTCGGGAGGTATTCCCTTACCCATCTGGCCCAGAAGAGGTCTAAAAGACTCTGCGCGTGGCCCCAGTTGGTTTTGAGAACAGCGCCAGTATCAACAGGCGACTTGGTTGGCTGCACAACACCACTGGAGCTCAACATCAAAAAATGATTGGGGGTAAGCGCTTCGTCATCTTCCAAATCAAGTGGCACGTGCGTTAGCGGCCTAGAGTTCACGATGGCTTCGACCTCGACCAGAACGGTTCCAAAGGGCTCCTCGTCCGGATTCCTGCTGGTAGAGAGCGTGTTTAAACCTATTTTGACCGAACGGACCAGTCGTTCCCACGAGCCACCCATGTGTGGGGCAGCTGGTGGATTCAAAATCCACTGAGTGTTGCAGTTGGTAAAGGTGTCAGCCAGTTTCTGGTTGATGCCTGCAATCTCCTGTTTCAACTCCTTCCTAGCGCCATGAAAATTGGTTCCTTGATCACTGAAGATCTGCTGCGGAGCACCTCTTCTTGCGATGAACCGTCGCACAGCCATTTTGCAGGATTCACTTGACAGACTGCTTGCGACCTCTAAATGGATGGCTCTCACGGTTTGGCACACAAAGAGCGCTACCCATCTCTTCACACTACTACGACCGATCCGGATGTAGAAAGGTCCGCAATAGTCCACTCCGGTAAAGGAGAAAGGACGTACGTATGAAGACATCCTGGACTCTGGAAGGGGCGCCATTCTCGGAGCCCGTGGGGTAGCCTTGTAGACGATACACCAGTTGCACTTTCGTATCTGTTTGCGCACTGCCGTGCGCAAGTTAGAAATGTGGAATTTTTGCCGAACCTCATTAACAATAGTCTCCACGTTGCAGTGTGCGTATTTACGGTGATACCAATCCAAAACGAGTCCAGTCACGTAATGGTTCCGTGGAAGCACTATTGGGAACCTAGCGTCATAGGAAGCGTAGTTGGCAGCACCAATTCGCCCTTCCTGTCTAATTACTCCCGTCTCATCGACGAAAGGTGATAATTTGTGAAGCGGGCTTGTTTTTTCCAACCTTGCTGCACTCGATTGTTGCTGCTGTCTTCCGAGCACGATGACTTCATCAGGATATGCCTCCATCTGCACGGCACGCCAAAGAAACTCCTCGGCATTCTTCAGCTCCCGTTGAGACAAAATGGGGTTGAGTTCGACAGGATCTCCGTTGATTTTGCTTCTGCAGTTATTCACATACCGCAGAAGGAATGCTGTGGCTCTCAATAATCTTTCCCACTTGAAATACCTGCTGTAGTTTATCAGAGGTTCAGGAATTTTCCGATGATGGGTATGTATCGGGCGTATCTCCTCAGCAGTGTCCTTCGTTGGCAGAATCCTTTTTGGCCACGCCGACTCCTCCTGGTACAAAAACTCAGGTCCGACAAACCACCTACAATCCGCATGGAAGCTGGGTTCTTTCACCCACTTCGTTGCTTCATCCGCTACGTTAAGGCGCGTTGGCACCCAACGCCATTCCTCTATATTGGTCACATCTAGGATTTCGCTGATTCTAACCGCCACAAACTGACGGTATTTGCGCTGGTCCGACTGTATCCACGATAACACCGTGCTTGAATCGCTCCAGATTACTCTACGACGAATCGGCAGCGTGTGGTTTTCCTCAATTGACTTCACCAATCTGCTTCCTATGACCGCTGCCTGCAGTTCCAACCGCGGAATTGACAGTGGTTTTAGTGAAGCGACCTTCGATTTTGCAGATACAAGTGCACAGCGGACCTGACCACGATCGATGATGCGAAAGTAAGCAACGCAGGCGTACGCTTCCTCACTTGCATCAACAAACACATGCAATTCAAGTGTGTCCAAGCTGTTCGGTGAATAGTTTGGGAAGTAGCAGCGAGGGATAGTGACTTGATCCAGCTCTTTCAGTACTTCCACCCAGCGACGCCATCGGTTGAAGATCTCTTCCGGAATTTGCTCGTCCCAGCTCACATTGGACCTCCAGATGTCCTGGATGATACACTTTCCGTGTACTACGAAAGCGGCCACTAAGCCAAGAGGATCAAAAAGACTCATTACAACCCTCAAGACTTCGCGCTTCGTTGGAACAACCCTGTCGTTCAATATCTGGGATATCCCATCACAGAAGCGTATGGAAAACGTGAAAACGTCACTGGAAGGCTGCCACAACATTCCCAGAACTCTTTCCGTGCCATTGTTTTTGTCTACTGCAAAGCTCTTGGCAAGATCTGCAACGCTGTCGTCCCCGACCCGTCGCACAACCTCATCCGAGTTCGATAGCCAATTACGGATTTCAAATCCGGCTTTCGCATGGACCTCTTTTACTGCTGTTGCAATACTCGTCGCTTCCTCCACAGAATCCCTGCTGTCGAGATAATCGTCCACGTAGTGGTTATGTACGATAGCATCTACAGCCAGGCATGGACAATCATTTGCATTCATTTCGTGCATTCATTTACATTCATTTGCCTCTAACTTTTTTCTTCACCAGCATTCCGCAGAATGATGTATAGAGCTTTTGTAGGTTTTGTTATTAGCTACAACTTCTGTTAACAAGTCAAATCCGTTACTCTTATGCATGACAAACCAGAGCGAACAGAAGCCACTACTGTTTTTCAGTGAATGTATTTTACATTCACTGAAAAACAGTAACAAGTTCTGCCCGCTCTAGTTCGTGATGCATAAGAGATACAGATTTGAGTTATGACCAAGAGTTGTAGCTAATAATAAAACCTACAAAAGCTCTATACATCATTTTGCGGAATGCTGTTGATGAAAAAAGTTAGAGGCAAATGAATGTAAATGAATGTATGAAATGAATGCAAATGATTTTCCATGCATGTCTACAGCTTCCGGGAACTCGCACCTCCATTCTTCTGCATTCAGATTCTTGACGTATTGGGAAGAGCACGGTGAGCATGTCGACCCAAACGTCGCTACGTCCATGACATAGACGTGTATTTCGCCAGACGGACTGTCGTACCACAGGAAAAGCTGACTTTGACGATCTTCGGAGCGAATCAGGAGCCGGTGAAACATTTCTCTGATATCACCCGTTACTGCTATCTGCCGTTGACGAAAACGCTGTAGAACCGCAGGAAGAGACGCGAGCAGGTCCAGTCCCTTCAGAAGCATAGAGTTATACGAGACTCCATCCACCTTCGCCGCAGCATCCCAAACCACTCGAATTTTTCCCGGCTTGTTTGGATTAATAACCACTCCGAGGGGAAGATACCAAGTTCTTCGAGGGTCAAATTTGGCCAACTCTTCCGCCGATACTCGATGAGCGTATCCTTTGGACTCGTAAGAAGCAATCTGCTGCCTGACGTTTTCGTAGAGTTCAGGTGTTTTCTCTAGTCTTCGCACTAGGCACTTAAGACGCCGCTCTGCCATCGGTCTACTGTTCGGAAATTCGATATAATCATAGCGCCACAGCAAGCCCGTCTCAAACCTTCCGGAAGCTGTGCGAACCGTGGTCCGTTGCATGATCTCCCGTGCCCGCCGGACATCTTCTGCTTCTACCGCTGGCGCAGCCACTACACCAGTGTTTTCGATCGAGAAAAACTCCTTGACAACGTCATGTAGTTCCCGATCATTGGAACCAGAACAGATGTGCAGAAGACGGTGTTCAAATGGTTCGTTCAGGCCTTCCACCGTTCCGTATACTGTCCAACCAAGTTTAGTTTTCGTTGCGACTGGTTCAGAAGGTCTACCTGCTCGTTTCTTCAACGTTACTAGTAGCTCCGTGTTCTCTAAACCAATTAGGATGCGAGGGGTGGCTCCGTTATAACTTTTCACCGGAAGACCCCGAAGGTAAGGTTGAACCAGTTGATTGAATTGCAAAGACTGCGGAGGAAGATCCAAACGATCAACCGTACGTACGCACTCGAGAGTATGACGCTTGCTACTATCCGTCCCAGATATGCCGAGTTGGATGACCCTTGACTCCGACTCCATTCTCGTTACGTTTCCTGTCCATTGTAGACAAAGTGGCTCCAGTTCCCCTTCCATACCGAGCTAGTCCGCAACTTCCTTCTCTATCAAAGTGAGCGACGACCCGTCATCTAGAAAGGCTTATACTTCGACTGATGAATCCTTGCCGTATAAAGTCACGGGTAGGATGCGGAAAAGAGTAGACCGTGGCTTTTGTCGATGGACATTCATATTTCCGGTTGCAGGTGCAGATGTTCCAGATGTGCCCTCAGGTTGCCCTGGGTGTAGCAAAGTATGGTGTCGAAGCTCGCACCCTTGTATACCGCACCCTGACACCTTGCACGGCCACTTTCCATGGGAAATCAAGCATCGTCTGCAGAGATGTAACTGCTGGACCAGCTTCCACCGTTCTTCGATGTTGCGACTCTTGAAGACATTGCAGTCTCTAATATTATGACCAAGCTTTTGACACACGGAGCACGGTTTGGGTTGATACGGCTGTTTCTCCTTGCTAATCTCACCCGACTTCCGATTCTCCTGATCTGCGTTCTTTCGGATGTCTTCCGCATGTGCGTTGACGTAGCCCTTTTCTTTGCTCTTCGACTTCTCCTGTTTCTGGATGACCTCGGTGCTGAACGTTACGTTGCTAGCAGCTGACGCAATTGTAGACATGTAGTCACTGAAAGCGCGCAGGTCCGCGTAAGGAATTTGTCGTTGATAAAGTGCCCAATCCAGCTTAATTCCTGCTGGGAGCTTTCCAACCAACTCTTGCAGCAGAGTAGGGTTGGACAAATGGTTCTCCATGCCCATTGCACGTAAGTGGCCGCATAAATTTTGAACCGCCAAACCAAAGGTAATTACACTTTCTAAACGATCCGCTTTTGGGGGAGGTGTAGAACGAACCTTGTTAACCAGACTATTCACCACCAGCTCAGGCCGACCATACAGCATCTGCAATGTTGAAATGATCTGCGGTACGGATGAAGGGTGAAGAAGCTGACAGCTAACAGCATGTAGCGCATTACCCTTTAAGCAACGCTGCAACCGCATTAAATTCTCGGCATCAGAGTATCCGCACATTTCATTAGAGTTGGTGTAGCTGCTGTAGAATAAAGGCCAGTCAGCTGGGTTGCCATCGAAGATTGGGAGCTCCTTTGGGACTACGTGGCGAGCAGCGAGTTGTTGAGCGGTGGGTCCACAATTCGGGACATTCGGAATCAACCCAGACGCTTGCGAGACACAAGGAGTTACAATTGGATGCGAATAACTTGGGATGCATGACACAGGAGGACAAGAGACTGGACCAGACGCAACGGGTATTGCATTGGGAGCTCGATTGGGAGCGGGATGGGCGCGTATATTTCCGAAATCCACGGGAGGCATTTGAGACGAAGGGAATGAAACTATGGGTCGTTTGAACATACCTTCGCACGCCGGAATACTTCCCAACCTGTTCGGTAGAGCAGCACTGTTTCCAATCGCTGGGGGCCGCCGGAACTGTTGATGACTAGTCGGACATTGATAAACTTCTGTCGGTGGCTGCAGCGCTGACTGTAGGCGAAGACTGTCTAGTTGATGCTGCAGATCTCGAACCTTCTGTTCGAGCTCATTGGTACGTGTTCCTACTTCCGATGTAATTCCCTGGTTGGCTCTTGCATTTGCCAGCTGTTGTGAAGTGGGCGGAGATATCACATTGAGGGGATAATCCAAACTAGATTGTGCTTGCGAGACTTGAGTATTGGCTTGATTGATGATTGGTTGAACGTTGTCGTCCACTGGCTTCGTTGCAGTAGTCCCTTTTGGGATGGCTCCGGTTCGAGACCTTGAGGATGTTGGGGCATTTTTGTTCCCGGAACTTGTCAAGAGCGTCTCGCGCTGGGCTTCCAACCACTTATGGACTGTGCTAGATGCACTTCGTTGGCTTCGATAACTTTTCACGCTACCATTCTCACCTTCATTCAGCTCGTTCTGCAGAAGATTATACTTCCTTCTGATGAAATCTAACTCCCGCTCCATCTTCTCCTGCATGGCTTTGCTTCTGCTCTCAATTTCCTGCTGTACCGCCTTCTCACGCAATGCTTTGGCGTACTCCTGTACTTCCTTCATCAACTTTTCCTGGGCCCTTTGCTCCTCTTCGATTTGCTGCATTTGCAGCTGAATATTCGCCAAGCGAATCGATGATGAACTTCCTGTTCGTGATGGACATGGCAAGAGCGCTTGTGCACCATCTTTCTCACAATGGATACAACTAAAGCTTCGATCTTTGATGCTGTCGTCCACCTTGGCGCAGGAGAAATGGTACCACCTCTGGCATACGTCACATTGCATCATGTATCGGTCCGCATTATCAGGTCGATTGCAGTCGGGACAGTGAGATTCGGTGGTCGCCTCCTCTTCTGAGACCCTCTTAACGACACTCAAACGTTTTGACCCTGGTCTAAGAGTGGACATCTTGCAACGGCGAATCGTATCGCTCCCGACAGGCTGATACTGGACCCGGCTAACCTCCAAATGGTCGGTAAAATTTCTAAAAGTTTGTTGCTGACGGCAATGTAAACTTCGGTGAATTTTCGGATCTTCCGTTAGCAAACTCAAGTTTTGAGTGAGAATGCTTTTAGCTGTAAGTTTTATTTAATGATTAGATTAATTTTAGAAAACTTAATATATAAACTTACAAATTTTAATCCACTTCACCTGTTGAAGTTCACTGTGTCAACAAACTGTTTTTAATGTGTTGTGCTATCTGTATGTAAATTTTAATTTAATAATTGCTAGTATTTTAATTCATGTAAACTTACGAAAAAAAAAAGAATTCACTATATATTATACCACTAGCAAACACTTTTAAAATGCGAAAGAAAGTAAGTACTTAATAGTTTTTAATCTGTCTTCCTTTTTCTATTTATTTGTTCTCTTATAACTCTCCTTATCTGTCCTGTCACCTGTTCTGTCATCCATGATGTCAATTGTCCTGTCAAGCGTAGCGTTACGCCCAGTCAGCTGCCCTGCTGCAATTTGGCTCGCTTCAAGACCGGTATGCAACTGGCTGTCTCCAACACCTGCAGATGTTAAAAGCTGAAAGGATCTCACAGCATTTTTCACTGTTGCTCACGTAAAGATTTCACCATTAGGGCTACGGAGTTTGGCCCAAACATTGTGCAACAATATAGTCCGGAGGCACCAGGAATATTTTCGGGAGTTGTCAATGAAATCTAAGTCACATAATATGACATTAATTATTATTATTGAATTCGCATGATAATTGATGTGTTGCATATGAGTTTGTGCTCAAGATTCCGGTAACTTTCTAGGGGATTTCCGGAATGTCATGTGACTGGAATACATAAAAATATCCAATAAGGCGTGAAATGCTTATCTAAAATATTGTTGGTGAAGAGTAATGATTTTTGTTAGGCTCAATTTGTTTTCCGTCGATCTTGTTTTCCGTACTGAGTACCAATGCTACCGACGCCAGGGAGGCTACTCCACACCTGGACCCAACCTATCGA